TGGTGTAAAGCAAACGATTGCGACTGTGCCATAGCCGCAGCTGACAAGGCCCCTGGATCTGTATAGTGGCTGATTGGTGCAGGAGATATGCCATGGTCCTCCATCCTAAGAAAAGTAGCCTGCAGAACAGGCGTATTTTTTTGCGTTTTTTAGGCGAACGGAGCCAAAAGCGAGGCGAGCGCGCGGGAAGAGCGAAGATCGAGCGAAGAGCTCTTTCGCGTTTTTCTTTCGCTTTTGACGAGAAGAGCGGCGAGCTCTTCGCCTCGCGCGCGACTCGCGGTTTGGGCTTCCCTCGCTTTCGGCTCTTTTCTCCTAAAATACGCAAAAAATTACGCCTGTTTTGCAGGCTAAAGAAAAGTGAAGCCATGCTGATTTCGAGACAGAAATTTGTCTTCTGCCTTCAAGCAGTAACTATCAATGGTACCTCAATCGACTTACTTAGCTCTACCAGATGCCTCGGCGTTGTTTTGGATAACCAAATCAGTTGGACCCCTCATCTCAAGGCGACAATAAAACTGTTTGCCAGGAAGCTCAACCTACTTAGATAGCTGAACTTCCTTCCAGCTGTACACCTCGAAACCTTCGACTACAAAATCATTCTTCCTTCTGTCACTTACGGAATGCTTATCTGGGGCAGCTGCAACAAAACGCTATTCCAAGATTTGGAGAGAATGCACGTCGTTGCAGCCAAGATCACACACAAACTCCAATGTCTTAAACCAAGTGCCCAGGTTTTTGGAAAGAGCAAAGTTATATATACAATTAACTCGCACTCACCGCTCAGTCCGTTATTTCAGAGTCGGAACAACTTCTATACACTGAGGGATGAAAATAAACTTCCATTGCCACAACCTAAAACGGAAATTTTAAAACGACCGCTCGCCTACAGAGGCAGTAGAGTATGGAATCTGTTACACGACTCATTAACATGCAAGGGGTTTAACGAATTTAAAACATCAGTCAAAAGTGTTTTAATGAAATATCGTTTGATCCTAATGTGAAGTCTCCAAGCGACAACGACTTTTTCTATCATTTTTAGCTTTTTAGCTTATAATATTTTACACTAGAAATAGTTTTTATTTATTTTTTTTACTATTTTCGATGTAAATAGCATTTTTTTTTCTATAGACACGACCATATCAGCTCATCAGCTGCTCTTAAACACGGTGTATAAATAAATTGTTCAAAAAAACAAAAGTACTCCAAGCGCAGGCCATAGCGTAGGCGTGGCTAGTCACGCTCGGTAGCATGCAAACTGTAGATAGCTCTAGAAACCTCTTACAAGTTCTGATGCAGTTGGTCGAACCCCGATAATTCGAACTTGGCTATTTCGAACCCAAAACTATTTCCGCTGTTATGCCTTGGATTCGCCCTTCAGTCATTTACTACCAGTTAAATATAAAACCCGCTATTTTTGAACTCTTATCAGGAGAAACGAAAAATAGTTAGAAATAGCGGGAGTTCGAAATAACAGTGTAATGAACAATGATACAAAACACGTCTTTTATTGAGCAGAACTGACATAACGTACATTTTCAGGCAGTTTATAGTTTACGATCCTATCATCTGTACAGCAGGAAGTATATCTTAGTTTCGTTACAGCTCTTTTGTCCATCTATTTCTAGATGCGCTAGACAAACTACTTCCCCCATTCAATATTCACAGGCAGAATGGAAAGTAATCCTATGCGATGTTCAACAAAGCCTTCTTGTTTGTATTGTTTCAGGTTGGTGTGGCCACCTTATTGCTTTGCGAAAGAGAAAACAAAAAGAAAAAGAACACGGTACATGTTTGTAACAAGTTAAATATCTATGTGATTATTACGATCATTGAATTTCTCGTCTGTCTTAACTTGAGGCACATCTCAGAGAACTGCCAAACAACAAGGCATATATATTATCCTTTTTAACGTTATTCAATAAAAAACAAACTGCAACTTCCACATGTAAAACAGGTTATCACGTGAAAAAGAGGTCTTACAACTAACGTTTCACGTCCAGAATTTGTAAAGTTATCTAAACAATATAAACGTTTGGTTCAAGTCAAATCCAATCTTTCAAGGAAGCTATTAACACATTTTCGGAATCTCGTCTCTTAAATTTTCGGCAAGGATGTTGCTATCAGAAATAACGTAATAAACAGCTGCCGAATCACTAACGATAACACTTTCGGAGCGCTCGTGATTAGTTCTGATTCGATAACAAAGAATCGGGCGATCTACGGAAAATTTCAATGAGAATCCGCGGAAAAAACCGTCGACTAATGTTCGATCCTGATGTTGAAATAAGTTTTATAAACGATAAAATATTCAGTCTTGAGTAATTTCTCCTGTACATGTAGAAACTAAGGCACAACAAAAGCACAATTGCTTGGTGAATGCTTTTTCTTCTACACCATCTTGCATGTGACTCAAAATTCTTCCTCCTGTCAATGTTTGTTGCTTGTGTTAGTAGACATGAACCATTCCATACAAAAACCTCGACAAAGTTAATGGAATTACAACAAAAGATTTTAAAGGTAATAAATAATACCCACACCCAAACGCAACAATAATTTCCAAAACACTGTTCCCAAATTGGTGAACTTGAAACAGTTCCCTTACGATAAAATTCTGCAAATTAGACCGCACCCAAAATAAACCACCCATTTGAACTAAAGATCACTGTAAGTTTTTGAACATAAAGTAAACCAAAAACCTAAACTTTCTTTTACAGGTACCAGTAAAATTTATGAATCTTTATAAAAAAGCATTTTTGTCATGTCATCTACAGACTTTACTTGCTTTGCAACATCTTCTATATTTAAGACAGTTAAAATATTCAGAAAGGATACGTCCAAAATAATAGGTATGTCTGGAGAGAGAAAACAAAACAAAACAAAACAAAACAAAAATAAACAGTTAAGGAAAATAATAACAACTAACTTAATGACGGATTTTTTACACGTACATGTATTTATTATTTTACAAGCAGACAGCAAAATAACAATGCTATTGTTAACAGCAATATCATGAAGACCTATGAGTACAGATGATGAGATCCTGTGTAAATTTACTACATAAATACCGTCTTTTTGTATGTTACACTGTACATTTAATAAAATTATTTCTAATCAGTATTTTTTTATTATTGGCTCTAGAAAAGAAACATACTTTGTAAAGAGTGGATGTTTTAGTTGAGACTGTTTTCCATGTGCTGCTGAAATTTGAATTCATAATGATTATTTTTCCAACTTTTTATGGTGACCCCAAAAGCTCAATACAATGGAATTTTAATACCAATTAGGAAACTGTCTCCTTACAATGTTTTCTGAGATCAAAATATGAATTGAGATCTTATCATATTTTTTTTTCCTCCAGTTTCTCAGTGTTCCAGAATCTTACCGTAATGGTAAATGATTGAATCTGATTGGCTAATCCTGCAAACTCCAGCGATCTGGGTTTTCCCATCTGGAGCAGAGTACAGACCGCTTGGAAATTTCCAACTTTGGCAAGCTTTTTATTACACCATAAAACAACGTAAAAAGTAAAGATTTAACAGAGAGTCAAATAATTATGGATTCCAAATAATAAATAAACATGTATTTGCCAGCCTTGGTTAGTCTGTCTTGGGAAAACCTGTGCCCTCGGTCTCAATTAGGGCCCTTAGTCTGGGCCTTGGGTTGTACTTAAGGCCTCAGGTACAGTTTTTCCCAGTACAGACCTCCTGACTGGCAAAATTATATAAGTTTTAATTTTATTGTATACCTGATGTTGTTCACATTAACATGTCATCAACAAGCCCACTTTTTAAAGTTTGCTCTGAAAACTAAATATATTTTAGATTCTCTGGTTTCCTTTTATAACCTGTGTTATTACTTCTGATCAGTTTTTTGAATATTTCAATAAAGTATTCATTCAAATAACTTGATTAAATAATATCATATTTCAGATGATTTACATGTAGCTTCATTTCATACTGAATTGTCTTAAGTAGTATTTTAAAAACAAATTAAATTACTGATTATAAGGATACAAATATTCCTCCAAAGATTCCTGATGTGCTGAGATCCCACCATGAGAAGAAAAATTTTCTCCACTGGGTGCCTGCCTTTAAACAAATTAGAATCTGAAAGAAAGCAATGAGTAAATTAATTTTCCCAGTACGGGTCGGCAAAGAGATAACCTAACCAATTTAGATTTGGAACAAACTCAGTCTCTCCTTTAAGGCAACTTGTGAATCAAACTTCCCTTTAATACATGTACAATGTTCAACACACTTATTTTAACATTCTTCTTCTTCTTTAGGTTTCTTGGCTCCTTACGGAACATAAGTCTGACACCATGATCGCTTAATTCCATCTAATCCTGTTTTGGACTGCTTTCTTGGCAGCGGCCCAAGTCACATCATTTTCTTTCAACTCTGCTATACCAGTGTGCCTCCATGACCCCATGGGCCTTCTTCTCGAACATCATCTTCATGTTTATGTCATGGCAGTGTTCTCAGCAGAAGATGATTTTCACCTTCTACAGGTCACGACGCAAGTAGCTGCCTGTTTTGGTATGAAAATACAGGGCTTATACATGGACTTGTATAGTCTTGCTTACTTGCCACCTGTTGTATATCTTAAGCCACCTGATCAAAATGCTACTGAGAATCCTGGAGGGATGAAGCTTGGCAATAAAGACAAATTACAGCTAAATAACCAGCCAAGTACTAATGTAGCATATGATGTTTGAAATGTCCTCACTGCCCTTTGAAAAAGCACCCAGTTGTTATGCAAATTTTCTCAGTGCAACAAGCCAAACATTAAGTCCAAGTGCCCTCTCAGAGAAGAAAGTGTTAAATATGCATAGAGATGCTTGCTTACTTTTGAATTGAGTATGTACTTATGTATAGTAAGTATTATCTACACCACCAAGACTAATAACCATGTAATTGATTGAAATACTTACTGACATGAAGAAAGAAGCTATAAAATAAAAGATGAAGCCTTTAAGACCTGTCAGACCAAGAATACCAGCGCATATGCCTGCCATAGATGCCAGTGATGTCCGGCTAAAGAAAGAAATTTTCAAGCAATAATGTTAAAATGAGTTGTGAACAAATGGAAATAAAAATATGGCTCTATAACAGGACACAGTGGTACTCTATATAACATGTTCATATGATGCCTAATACTAAATTGAAGTACAAGGAAAGCTTTTTAAGGCCAACTGGGTCAAAGATCTTGGTGCTCAACTCTGGATTCTATAACATGAAATGACTAAAAGCATTACTGCCCCCCCTGGATGGGAGACTACTCCATGGCAGGATACTCCAGAACATTCTTTAAGGTTAACCCAACAATTATCTGGTACCCATTTATACCCCTAGGGGGGAGAGACACTGGGAGAGTTTACTGTCTTGCCTAAGAACACAACACAATGATCCTGACCAGAGCTCAAATAAGAATTGTCTTCAGCTGACTATGTAATACAGTAATACATGGGCAACAATTTTTTTTTGAGCCAAACCAAAAACCCAGTACAGTGAGATGCTTGGAACATTTTACGTACGCCTCGATCGTACTGGGGTATGATCAAGGCCTCTGAAAAGAAGATAGACTGACAACACCATGATCAATATGTAGATCTATGACATTTGTGGCACAAGGAGAAGACTGCCTCCCAAGCAGCGGCTGTCATTTGCCAGTTTTTTTGGTATGCAGTGTGTAGATCTGAGAAGCAATAACATATTATTATGATTCACTCTAGAGTGAGCTAAGACTTTGGTGTGTGCCTGTGACTTTATCCACTGATTTTTGTTATTCAACATCGCACACTTACCAAAAGTCAATAATGCTATTGTTAGCCATGATGGAGAAAGGACTGAAGGCCTCCTCTTTCCCTATATACAGATTACATCAAGAAACAACAAATGCCAAAAAGATAAGCATTTTTAAACATTATTTAACAATACAAGATCTTTTTTTCGAAGTGCTTCTGGATACAAGAGGGTATTAAAGAAAGAAAGTTTTCGAGCAGAGTGTAAAATGTTTGATGGGTTTCAAAGCGAAAATGTTTGATTTTGATAAAACTCATAAAAGGCAAGCCAAGATTTTGTCCTTGTAACTAACTACAGTGAGCTAAATGACCGAAATGAAATCATCAAAAATGAAAAGATTCATTTAAAATTATAATTTATAAAGAAAATGTTACATCGCCGACAAGATCAACTAATAATTTAAAGAAAATTGGAGGTTCTACCGTGAACATGTTCTCCTTCCGCCATCTTGAAATTTTGAACTGTCAGCAGCTATGCTCGTGGGCTCAAGAGATAGCTAGTCACCAATCCTTCTCTGTGGGATCTGAAACATGGAAGACAAAACATACTGACTGGTACAAACTGCACTCCACTTTCTGGCTGCCAGATAGCTTCTTTCGCTGTGTCTTGCCATTTGATATCAGCAGGAAACAATTTCTAGCCTTCTGTTTTATATTTGACCGCGATTTTTGAATGTAGAAGGTAAAATTACGGGTAGAATTTAATTGAGGAAGCATGGTGGACGTATTACTTGGTTCGACATACGAGGATCAGAAGCGCGAGTTTGTGTTCGATTTTAAAGACAGTGGAAAACATCAGAGACTCACTGTACCAATACCAATTCCACTGAAGATTGGCGCCAAGGAATTTGTGCAAAGACTGATTTCTTTCCACAATTTGCCGTGTTATCTGGAACCAGGTAAGAAAATCCCAGGGTTTTTCTATTAAATGCACCTACATTGTATGGCCAACAATGCATCAATGTTAAGCTTGAACGGCAGGAGGGACGTGCAAGGGGTGGGGATTTTGACATTTTCTTAAAAAAAAAGGTCAAAACCCTCACCCCCAGGACAGCATGATCAAAGTTCCCCAGCCTGGGGCAAAGAAACCTCATAAATAGATTATGGTTCACTATCAGACTCTCTTGGTCCTTCAAGATGGCAACCACATCAAATTATTCATCCTGGGGATATCATGTACAATCGAAATCCTATCCAGGAGACAGACCTCACAATCAAATCCCCATGGGTAGCCTGTCCCCCCGTCCTTGGGCTTAACAATGATAGGTGCATAAATAGGGGGAGAGGGGTTGATTGATAGTGATGGCTTAGAAAGGGAGCCATTCTCAACAATGTTGGGAGTGAAAGTGTTCAAATCTTAATAATATTGTGTGGTTGATTTCTAGTGAGAAATATATCTAATCTTTCTCCTGTAGAGCTAACAAAGACTTTAGATGAGTTCAACAAGTCTTCATGTAGAGATCTTCATGACAAAATGGCCTGTGCAGCCCTTGAACAAATGAATCAGTCTTCCCAAAACACAGCTGATTATGTCTCGTCTTGGTCAAATACTTTTACTCAAGAACATGCAAGCTACAGCTCTGCTAATGACAAGAGTGAAGAGTCAGTGTTCTCTGAGATGTACCATTCCCTGATCCATTCAGCCGCGCTAGAAACACTATTGCAACTGGAGAATACCTATGCCATGGCAATGGACGATGCTGCCTCCAAAAAGGAGAATGCAATTAAAACCATGGAAGAAAAGTGAGTTTGACATTAAGGTAGATTAAGTCGTACTGGGGTCAAACTAGCTTATACAGTCAGAGTTCTTTATCTCAACTTTAATGTCTTAACTCATCCTTTCAGGCATCAACGAGAAATGGAGGACTCCATTAATAATCTTGGCCTTGTCACTACTGACAAAGACGTCAATGATTTGGCTGCCAGGCATTGTGAAGATGCACAAGTGAGTTTGTTGTTTATGTATTCTATCTCTAACTGCAGGCATTTTGACTCTGTACATACTCCTCCCCGACCCCCATTAGGGAAGAGTGTGTGACCCATGACAAGCAAAAAGAATGCCTGGTTAGGGAGCTACTTCAACTTTCCCAGTTGTAGATCCTCATGAATGTGGCGACTGTAGCAGAGGTCTTACTCCTTAGCAATTATTGGCGATACTGTCTAAAATTCCAAGTAACAATTGAGTGATCCTCCACGGAACTCCATTGCACTATGCTACATTTAAACACACTATTATGATTGAGTGCTCTTGTGCCTGTCCTACCATCCAGGAGCTGCTGATCACCTGACAAATGCCAGTTATTCTTCATTGTTAACTTACATGCAGATAATAATTATTGTATTGTTGTATTTAACTGCATATAAATTTCAGTGTCTTAAAGGTATCTTAAGGTGAATCATTGCCCAAGACTACTTGACACTTACCCACCGGTTGTAATCTTCAGTAGTGGTTCCAGACCTTGAGCAAAGAGGAGGGGCAGGGGACAGTTTGTTTTATGTGCCTTGCCAGCTTTTCTTCCTTTTGTGATTTTCTTTCTCTTTTCCCAAAATAGGAGGGGAGGGGCTCCACTAGATCTACCACTGGTCTTTCATGGAATGATCTTCAAATGAATCTAACAGTGGCAAATGATACTGACAATAATTATTTACAGCAATGATGCATTCTGTGTGTGTTCTTTGGAGGCAGCGTGGCCTAGTGGTTAAGGGTGCTGGATTTGTGATCTGGAGGTCCAGAGTTTAAATACTCCTGTCTGCCACTAGTGGATTTGTGTTTGGTGGTCCCACATTCAACTCCCCCACACTTTGTAAATAGCCAACTGGTCAGCCTTGCACCAGTTAGGATTTTTAACAAATTTCTGTTTAATTTAAAATATTTGTTTGCTTGTTTCAGTGTCCCCAATTGGTACTGTGCTTAACACTTTAATTTGAATGAGATTAAATTTCGATAAACATTTCAAAATGAAAATGAGCGATAGAAATTTTACACAACGTTTTGATGTTGTCACGACATCATTATCAAGTGACAAGAAAATAACGACTCAACAGTGTTATATATGCGGTGAGAGGTGTGATTGTTCATTGACATATTTGTTTAAACAAATAGTTTCGCGCGGATGGATTGTTTGATTTACGAAATGCTGTGTATTAGAAAGAAGAAACCTAGCCTGAACACACAATCGGATTCCATCCGCGCGAAACTATTTGTTTAAACAAATATGTCAATGAACAATCACACCTCTCACCGCATATATAACACTGTTGAACCGTTATTTTCTTGTCACTTGATAATGATGTCATGACGACATCGAAACGTTGTGTAAAATTTCTATCACTCATTTTTATTTTGAAATGCTTAACACTTTAACACTTAAATATAAATTTATTTATTTTTTTGTTTCTTAGATGCTGGAAACATACTGGTCCAGTGAACTATCACAGCTCCAGGAGATGCAGAAGAGAGAGTACAGGGAGTGGGTAACAAAAGTGCATGAAGATATGGTCCGTGTCAACTCAGGTTAATTTAGTTTGCTAAATTTTTTTTTGAGAGTTCTTGTTGAAACCATTTCGGTTCAGACTGTGAAGACAGGGTCTGTCAGTGATCAGCTGATGTGCCTGTGCACTGTTTCTAGTAGACAGTTATTTGCCTTCAGTTGGAACAATCAGTTGGTTGCTTGTTAACTGTTGACTTATTAAGTTATCATGGTGAAGAAAATGTGGGCAATCTTAAGAACACTGGACAGGTGCAAGGAGTTCTCTGCTGTACCTTGTGTTTCTGTACTCTCCTTGTTTTTTTTTAGTATATAATGATTTCTCAGTTTTGGACTCAGTTGTTTCTTTGTTGTTTTCTTTTTTGTTCTGCAGATCCATCATCATCTTTAGACTCTTTTTCATTTGGGAAGTAAGTTTTTTTTATTTGTATGTAGTTACAGAGGCACTGTGGCCTCATGGTTAGCACACTAGACTCAGGATCGAGCGGTCTATGGGTTTGAGCCCTGGCGGGGGGCACTTTCTGCTGTGTTCTTGGGCAGGTCACTTTACTTCCACAGTGTCTCTCTCCACCCAGGTGTAATGCTGGGGGTAACCCTGTGATGGACTAGCATCCCATCCAGGGGGGTGTAGAAATACTCCTATTTGCTTCATGCTACAGAAACCGTGATAACCTCCGGCCTGATGAGCCACTTGGCTCGTATGCAGACTTTACCTTACAGTTACAGTTCAGTGTCCTATTTTACATGTTCAGTTCCAAGCACAGACTATTTTCTTCTGGTCGCTAATTTATTCTATTTAACTCGTACAGGAATCGTAGCATGTCAGTTCAGAGCATACCAGTAGCAAATGAGTTTTCCACTACTGAGCATGATTTCAGACTTGAGGAGAGCTTTACCATCCTCCTGGGTGAGTGAAATGCTGTTTAACTATTCCTTCCTTTAAATACAAAACTCAGTGAAGTTTGGGTTAACCACTGAAGACATTTCCACAATGTTTGTTTCCGGACCTCTCTGCTGTAACTCCCCTGCCCTTGTTTGAGTAAGACAAACACTTTCCCATCCAGACCTCCTACTCAGTCAATAATAATAATTATTGTCTGATCTCTGCTGTCATTATAGGGGCTCAGAAAAAAACAACACATAATCTTCGATTGATCAGCGGTAATGTCCTAGACTTGTGCAAACACAAGACCAGACCTGGAGGGTAAGGATGTTATTCTAATACAAGGGTCTATCTCTTTTATGAACCTACTGTACTAGATAACTTTTGTACAGTTTGAAGAATAAAAATTATGCTCATATTTTTGGGTCCAACTGGGAAGAGTAGAGGAATGGTTCATAGGCAGTGGAGGCAGAGCATGGGGTGCAGGTGGAGCTTCTCTTGCCAATTCAAAAATAGGGGTGGAGCTGATAAAAGATGGCACAGAATGCCTGATTCGTAAGTGGAAAGCAACCTGGAGTGAAGCTATTCCCACTGGGAAGCTAGTCCTTCTATTTCCAAGATTGTTCTGTATTTAACTTGTTTCACCATCGATACATTGCCAAACATTGCAAACTTGTTTTGAGAATAACGAACTTTGTAGGACAAGTTGACCAAGATATTTCCAGTTTAAAAATACTTGATGGAATATTGGGTTGAATGCCTGAGGTCATCAGTCATCTCATTCGCATGCTTTACACATTTTTCAAACTTTTCAAGATATGCAGTTATTTGCGAACGGGAAACAACATTTTTAATCTTTTGTGGAATCCTATTCCAGGGGTAAAAGTTTGATCATAGTACCTAGCACTTTAAACTTTTGTCAGTGAATTTTCATTACGAGCTCCACATGTAAATGATAAAACTGAGCCAACTGTTGTCTTGTTTGTTCTTTTTTTGTTCAGATCAGTGTTGTCCCAGCCACACAGAATCCAGACAGCTTTGTCACTGTACTCTGAATCACTTGCAGGGTTAATTTTGTTGGTAGAAGATCGCCTGAACACGTACTCGGGAATCATGAAACGTATGACGACTTTTTTTCCTCTGCTACAGTACATCATACATGTAGTTATTATTCCTAAAAGCAATTTTTTTGTAACATACTGGTCAAATTAATTGACTTTTTATAACTAATTTCACAATGTTATTGGAAGCTTTAGACTTTGTGAACTTGCAGTTAGAGCAAAGAACATAAGCAAAGTATGCACAGAGGCTAGTGCATGTGTTATCAAAAAGTTTTATAAAACAGTTGGCTTCTTATACTTGTTAGTTGTTTTCAAACAGTTACAAACAAAAGTTAGTAATGGCACAAAAATTCTGAGCTACATTAAAAGACTCCCTGCTGAATAACCTTTGCGTAAAATCTTCATTTTTTAGATTTTGCCAAGATCTTTTTATTAATTTATTTTCTATTAATTAATTTTTTTTTTTTTTAGACTTTGCCAAGATCTGCCAGAAGTCTGGAACAGAATTTCATTTTCCTGACCTTGACAAACAACTGTGCCTCATTCAACAACTGTTTGAAAGAAAAGAACATAGTAAATCCATAGCTGGCAGCCAGCAGCAACTTCCATCAGCTGATTCTGCTCTTCGCCCTATAACACTCAATACAGGTTGGTTTTAAGAGATTTTAGTAAGGTATCTCCAAAGAGGAACTAGGATGGAATTATCATCTGTAATATATGTCATGGGTGACACCTTAACTTCTAAGTCATTTATTATCGGTTATATCTTTAGCTCCTGTTATCGCGAACGTTTTTTCATTTCCCTTGAGGGTTCGAGATAGAGGGATTCAATTGTACCTTAAAGAAGCTCAGTCACGGTGTGTTGAGTTATTTTGGCCACGTACAAAATTACCTTTAAATCGAAGGAAACCTGAAAATAGTAGTTTACTAAGATAGAAAAACACCAAAGAGATAATAACAAACCATAAAGGAACAAGGATGGTTAAGGATGGAAAAGATTGACGCGGATTACAAACGACGAACTTGAAAAATTTAGGCTAAACTTTTCAAGATGCGCAAACCGTGACTTAGCTCCTTTAACTCCGCAAAGTAAAGAATCAAACCAAAAACATTGAGAAAAAAAAAAAATCACCAAAAAGCTTCCAAGGCGCTGTAAGTGGACGGCATTGAGGGTATTCAAACATTAAGATTCTGACTGCACGTCTCTTTATTGTTCAATGTAGGAGATATTTACATCACACGGCATTCTAACCTTGCCGAAGTCCATGTTGTATTTCATCTGGTTGTGGATGATAGCGTGAAATCTTCAACGATTAGCACGCGGAATCCAGTGATAGTAGGCTTGAGGAATGCATTGCATACAGCTGTCAGGCACAGCATAACCACCATCACTATTCCATTGCTGTTATTTCATGAAATGACAGAGGTCAGTATCAATCGGAGGCACACTATCCCGGGGGGGTTGGCGGTGGGGGGGGGGGGTTACTTTCTATAATATCCTGTACGGGGAGGCTCTGCCCAAAGGGGGTACCTTTGTCAGGTTTCAGGTATATAAAAGATTTCTCAAGCTGAGGTATATGAAAGGGTAAGGAAGTCTTTCATTTAGTTATTTTGAAGGGCTTTTAATTGAAATACCTTCAACAGACGCATCTTATAGCCATACCATTTCATTTATTAGACACTACATGAAAATGACAAGAAGACTTTCGTTTTTGGTGACTTATTCATCATACTGGCCAGCTATGAAAATCTCAGTATGAAAGGGGTGCCTTTTTCAATTAAAGGTCTACAAAAGCGGTATCTTTTCTATCAAAATGGTGTGCGAAAGGGTAACGGGTTGAGCCTAGGGAAGGAGCTTCCCCGTATAGAACTTTATAGAGACACACACCCCCGTCCCGATACCCCCGCTCATGAAGAAGTTCCTCTCTTTTAAAGAAGTATCGTTTTCGAGGCCTGTCTGCATGCTATTTTGTTCACATTGATACCAAAGGATTTTTGTTTGGAGTATTTGCGCATTCAAGACATGTTTGGAACTGCGTTGTTCACGTGATAACGCAACCTCGTTCCCAGGACTCATGAAAAAGTTTCTTTCTTTTTCTCTAAGGGAAAAGCTCTGGGAACGAAGTTGGTGATAAGGGTCCGTTTCAAATCACTTTTTGCGTCTTTAGGTTTCTGGCATCATTTCCTTTTAATATATTTAAACCGAAAACTGGATCACGAACTTGCTGTTGTGTTCGTTTCTGTGGATTAGTCTTATTTGTTAGGCCCTTCGGACACTTTTTTGTTTTCCGTTCGTGGGAGATCGAAACGACAACAATGTATAGATGATAACTCTCTCAAATAGTCATTTTTTATCTTAAAAGAAGTAGCCTTTGGAATTTAACCTTTTCCAGCAAAATATTGACTGCTCTCCTTTTTTCAGGAAATGACTGTGTCTTGGTGTATGAAAAGAGCAGAATTGATGTTTAAATGTGTGAAAGGTAATTAAATGAAATAATAGTTTGCTCACATAGCGTGGGAGGCGCAATGGCCTCATGGTTAGTGCGCTCGTCTGCGGATCGAGCGGTCCGGGTTGGAGCCCTGGCCGGGGACATTGTGTTGTGTTTTTGGGCAAGACACTTAACGCTCGCAGTACCTCTTTCCATCCAGGTGTATAAATGGGTACCGGCGAACTAAATACTGGGGGTAACCCTGCGATGGACTAGCATCCCATCCAGGGGGGAGTAGAAATAATCCTAGTCGCTTCATGCTACAGAAACCGGGATAAGCTCCCGCCTGATTGGCCACCTTGCTCGTAAGCAGACGTAACTTTACCTTGCCCATATAGTTACCTGTAAGTACGAGAGAGTCGCGTGTAATGGATGGATATGTGACATCTGCATGGTTTATTTCATAGAGTGGACATGACACTTTGCTGTTTCCAGTTATCCCAGTGAACAATTCCATTCATTCATTTGAATGTATGTTGTTATTCGATGCAGGTTTCATGATGGAATGCAGCACGTGGAGTGGAGCAGAGTCCCTGAATTTACAATTCATGGTGCCCAAGGTGAGAATATTTCCCTTTCGATTGCAAATGAAGTGTCTACTTATGCAAAGGAAAATTTCTTCATAAACGGGCGAGTTTTCAGCCTAAATGTGTAAAACGTGGAACATTTTCGTGTATTCTTACTTTGGAACCATTTCGTTTTCCTTGTTTAGGGCATATCTGAGGAGATGTTTACGTCGTTTAGTCAAATGCTCTCCAGTATCTTCCGTGTATCCACTCCACTGGACCTCACCTCAACAGCCAACAGATGACCTCACACATACCTACCCCGTGAGTTTGTTCAGAAGCAGCAGATGACCTCACACGTATCTACACCGTAATGCTGTTCGGCACTAGCAGATGAACTCGCACGTACCTACCCCATGATGCTGTTCGGGGCCAGCAGATTACATCACACGTACCTACCCCATGATGCAGTCCAGCGCCAGCCAATGACATCACACGTACCTATCCCATGATACCGTTCGGCACCAGCAGATGAAGTCCCATTGCGCGTATTTTCCAGTCAAGGCCCACGAATTGATATGACCCAGGCAATGATGGTTTGAAATTTGTAACAGAAAACTCGACAAATGGCGGGATTGGGAGGAAAGGATGACAATCGATGGCGAAGATGGAAGTGGATTGCTGTTGGGAATATTTCCTACCGTTGTGACAGTTATCGGCTTAAAAACAAGCCTTCGGTTATACCAGACTAATCCTCACAGACCAAAATTGTTCTCCCTCCCTCTCCAAATAAAAAAAGCAAAAAATAAAAATAAAATAAATAAATAAATAAGAATTAACTACATTTTTCAGTACACAGAAATGTGACGAATGGGACATTCACGTTTGAACAGTTGTACTGAGCAGAGCTGAACACGGAGAAACTAACAGTTTTCGTAGTGTTTCTTCCCAAAGGTGCAAATTGAACTTGGCCTTCGTAGAAATAAAATTCAGTTATAAATAAACTGGTGAAAGAACCTTTTTCCAACGAAATTTGACTGAAAATTTCGTCAGAAGAAAACATCAGTTGCCAGCCTTCTACACGTTAAATTAGACACTAATTTCTCTTTTCACGGTTAATTTTTTCTCATTTGCATTACAATATAATCTGGCATATATGTGAAGCAATTTCGGTCAATTTTGTAGTTCTTGCCCGAAATTGCGTCGCATCCGTGTTGGATTACTTTGAGATGTAAATGAGAAAAGGTAACCGTGAAAAGGGTTATTGCAAAGTGAAATTTAAGGTGTTGGGTAAATTAAGTTGGGTTTCCTGATTACTGATTAAAATGTATTGTTTTCAAATTACTTAATTTATATATCAAAATGACGGGAAGTAGCGCAGTTTTGACTCGAGTCTTGCCATGAGCCTGGAATTAATTTACATCGCTCAGAGGTCGGGGGAGTTGCGCGCGCTACGGCTTTCACGGAAACAAATCTGAACATTTTTGAGTATTTTCGTATAGGTTTTGGCCTGAGTGTCAATCGCTTCTCTGGACGCTTCCCGAGTAAACAACGGAAAAAGAAGTCTTAAATGAGCTCAGTCACGGTATTTTGAGTTATTTTGGCCGGGTACAGAATCGCCTTTAAATTGAAGGAAATGAGAAAATAGTTGTTCACTGAAATGGAAAAACACCAAAGAGATAACAATAAACCATACCGGAACAAGGATGGTTAAAGATGGGCAAGATTGACACGGATTGCAAACGGCGAACTTGAAATATTTAGGCTAACCTTTTCAAGATGCGCAAACCATGAGGTAGCTCCTTTAAATTCAGGCTTCATTGGTTCAGTACGTTTTACAATTAAGCTGACCAGGACCCAAGAATTGACGGAACTATGGTCCGCTTGTAACTCTTAATTAACCCGCAACTAGCTTTTAATCGAATCCAGGACAAAAAATGGAAACTAATTTAACGAAAAATTGCTTTGAACTTGTAAAATCTTTATTCATGCCTGCAATTACCTAATGTGTTTTTGTGTTGTCGTAGTTATTGATAAAATATAAGGTAAAGAAGGTTGAGTTGAAAAAAAAAAATCTGTTTTGGCCAGGAGCGCGCAAAAAAGCAAATCTGTGAAAACGAAAGTTTCTTAGTAATCGAGTTAAAATTTCTTCTACTATATATTGAATGTAAAAATCAACTTGAATCAGTTTTGAATTTACATTTCTTACTCCGAGTAACGCTGCGCCAATGATCGCGTTCTTCTTGAACAAGATCCGTTTCCTTGGAGAAGCCAAGACAAATGAATAGAACTGTTGGAAAATTTATGCATTTACTGTTTGGAAGACACGACACGGAGTAGACATAAAATCCGCTCGATTCTCGTGCGTTTAGTCGAGGAAAAAGGGTTTCTTCTGCCCGACACTGAATACTGCTTGTGGTAGGTTTCTATTTCGTAAAAACAATGTGTGTTCAGTATTTCACTCACATTCAGCTCGCCGGAGAGTTTTGATTAGAACGCGCTAAATATGATATTTACAACGAGTTCGGAGGATACTTCAGTTTTACTAATAAGATTAAATCCCATTAAATTGAAGATCCCTCACATTTCTTTAATTTTCAACCTCCGTACTTTTTAAAAATTTGAAAATAGAAAAGAAGCCATTTTTAAAATCATCACGATATTACTTGTGTCAAGTTACAGAAATTCAGCTTAAATTCTTCGTACAATCCCGCTGTCTGCAAGAGAGTGCATGCATTATATTCTGCTATCTTTGAGCGGAATTGACTGATTGAAAACCGCCGAGAAAGGAAAACTATGGATATAGAATCGGAGATAAATTTGCGCGCTCTGCTCTGATCGACTCTCATGATCCTCGATACATGCAAAAAGTGTGCATAAATATTGATTTTAGCTACAATAGGTACAATATGACCACCACTAACGGAAGTTCTCACTTAATGTTTTGAGTGAGCTTGTTTAGTTGTTTGTTTTTTTAATCATTTTTGTACTTTTTTGTGTCTAACCTAGATCAAAATGAAGGGTATTTTGAAGATCGTCTTGGTGCTGTTTGCTCTGTCGATCGCCAAAGCGAAACCTGTTCCTGAATGGGATGACGAGGAAGAGTGGGACGAGGTTCAGAAAGAGAGAGTTGACGCCTTGAACGAGGAAGAAGACAAAGACGCCTGGGACGAGGAAGAAGACGAAGAGGCTTGGGACGAGGAAGAAGACGAAGAAGTCTGGGACGAGGAAGAAGACGAAGAAGCTTGGGACGAGGAAGAAGACGAAGAAGCTTGGGACGAAGAAGAAGACGAAGAGGCTTGGGACGAGAAGGAGGACGAAGCGGCTTGGGACGAGGAAGAGGTTGAGAAGGAAGGGGAAGAAGAGGAGGAAGAGGAGGAAAAGAGCGGTGAAGAAGACGAGGCTTGGGACGAGGAAGAGGACGAAGCGGCTTGGGACGAGGAAGAGGGTGAGGAACAAAAAGTTGAGGAGGAAGAGGAGGAAGAGACCGGTGTAGAAGACGAGGCTTGGTACGATGTGGACAACACCGGAGGAGAGTACGGTGAGGACAATGGAGATAGAGAGTAGCCCGGCCACTTTTCATTGTCTGTTTTAATCAATAAACTATAAATTGTCTTGATTTATTACTTTTCTAACCCTCTCAGGAGACGACGAATTCGAGAAAGAAATTCTAAATCTTAAGAGAGGTGAGAACAATTACTTTAAGATCTCCACCCAGCCCCACTTGTCCCCGTGTCCCATCCGCGGATCAAGAGACAGTACCACATACTAGTGTTTATCCAGACTCCTGAAAAGCCTAAAACCTCTTTATACAGCATAGTAAACATTAGCATGTGCACATGAAAGTACCGTTCAATAGCTCTCAGTTGAATGGTCACACACTAGGGTTTCATCCACAGACTTAAAAGTTAGAACCACCTTGTACAGCATAATAAACAGTACCACATGAAAGTACCGCTCAATAGCTTTCATTTGAATGGTCACACACTACGGTTTCATCCATAGACTTAAAAGTTAGAACCACCTTGTACAGCATAATAAACAGCACCAGCCCTATACGGTATCACACCATGACGTACCGCTCTTCAATGTTGACCCACTATATAGGCCTACTTACACGAAAAAGTCAGCACCACCTTCACAGCATATAAGAAACAGTAAAACACTAATTCTTCCCTGTTTGTTAACTTCTTCACAACCTTTGTTTCTTTTCAAAGGTCTTACCGAAATGAGGGCCGAGCTGGAGGACATGTTGGCACATTAATTGTCTTCCAAATTTTTTGATCCATTTTGAAACTTGGAGCTTAGCACGTAAATAACGTAAACTCTGGTTGTAATTTTCAGCATCTGAATAAAATAAAGATGGTGTAATGCTAAAAAAAAATTGCAAGTGGAAATGATTTTCTGTGAACAGTTATGGCCTGTTGGTTGATCGATGGTGTTGTCTACTCGGGGTAATTTTTTTGTTCCCAGCTCTAAATATGCTACGTACATAAAAACACGTCCCAATGTAAAATTCTCATTGTACCTCAAGAAGGCTGGTTTGGCCAAGCGAAATATAGTACACCTTCAAAAAATCACCCTACGTTGTGTCGGTTTTTGCGTTTTGTATTCTTCATCTGAAACAGTCCACGGTTTGTGACGACCTTGACTAACTGGTTGAAAATGGCGGACGAAGACAAAGGACACTAACAAAATAACTCATAATTGATGCACAGGCGATTGAAAAGGTATATCCGATTCGGGTCGCGCCCAAACAAACCTAACTTGAGTAAATATTTAAGATATCCGAAGACGTTATTTACAACTATTGAGAACTTTGTTTAGACAGGAGAACATCTTTGAACCACTGTCGAAACCCCTTTTTCGGGTAAAGGGGTGCGCGAGAGTAGGGGGCGGGGGGAGAACTCCCATTAGATTTCACACGGCTTACTGTGGTAGATTATGAAAGAAACCCCTAAAATGTACCATGTCTGTGTGTTTCGGGCGTGCCTCAATCTCAGAGGTACCGACTCTTTCGATTAGCTTCTAGACTGTATCAAACCACAAATTTGAAGCCCTAAATGATACGAGGATTCCCTCTCCCCGTCACGTTTGAATAAGCGGTCTCCCCTTGCAACGAGACCTCGGACTTGGCAATCGTTTCACATGCCGTTCAGCTTGCCGCTGCTGAACTCTTGCATTGTCGAGCTGTTCTGTTGCAGTGTTCCAGGTCAAAGAGCTTTTTCAACTGAGTTCTGAAATCCCAGTATTCTATATCACAATTAGCGTATTGCACTCGTCTTCTGCAGCATTTGCACGAAAGTTTGAATCGCTCATTCACCCCACATCGATGCACTTCATAGTTATCGCACTCCGTTGTCTGAACTTTCTCGGCGACTCTCTTGTACACGCCGCTCACTAGGCTCGAACACGTGCTGACATATTCAGCCAGAGTCTTTTCGAGTTCCTGTATCCTTGCCTTGCAGATTTCTAATTTTGTTTTATCGGGAAGCTCCTTGAAAAAATCGTCCTTCTCCAAAGAGCTCAAAGGTAAATATTTGCTCTCTTGGAGTGTTTCTTTCAGGAGAGCATCGAGACCAAACCTGTCTGCAATCATGTAAAACTTCACACAGTTTGTATCGTGCACGTTGCAAGAGAGATATTCACAGCAAAGTTCTTTTACCCGTTCCATTTGATACTCGTCTGAAAGTTCCAGGAGAAATTGGCAGTTTTCATCTATAAGGGAGACAATAAATTTAGCGTCCAGCTTAATATATCAGAAGCACCCTTTTAGGAGTCCTTATGACCTCAAACAATGATTTGCTAAAGATAACGGCGGCCAGAGGTTCTGTAGGTATTTTTAGCATAATTAGGCTCACATTAAAAGAAAAGAAATCATCATCAACCTTGACGATGTTTGGCAATTTATTTTAACTATTGAGCTGTTTTTGTTGTTGTTGTTGTTTATCCCGTTATCTCCTCAATTTTATTTCCTTATGGAGGATAATCAAAACCGGAGACAGTGTTTCATATCTTTTGTTAACACCTTGAAATAATCGTCGATACAACTCCGCTGCGTTGCAGTTTGAACTCTTTTCTCTGTGGTTGGAAATGTGATGAAATACTGCATCTCGTGTTTATTATATATCTTCACAAATTCAGTCGATATGCAGCCCATCAATCGAGTACGAGAACAGGTAACTGCATTAGTTTGTTTAACGTTTTGAGCTAAACTGTTTACCTACTGACTCTGTGACCCATGCGAATCGAGTGATCANGCGGCCAGAGGTTCTGTAGGTATTTTTAGCATAATTAGGCTCACATTAAGAGAAAAGAAATCATCATCAACCTTGACGATGTTTGGCAATTTATTTTAACTATTGTGCTGTTTTTTTTTTGTTGTTGTTTATCCCGTTATCTCCTCAATTTTATTTCCTTATGGAGGATAATCAAAACCGGAGACAGTGTTTCATATCTTTTGTTAACACCTTGAAATGATCGTCGATACAACTCCGCTGCGTTGCATTTTGAACTCTTTTCTCAGTGGTTGGAAATGTGATGAAATACTGCATCTCGTGTTTTAATATATATCTTTTCACAAATTCAGTCGATATGCAGCCCATCAATCGAGTATGGGAACAGGTAACTGCATCAGTTTGTTTGACGTTTTGAGCTAAACTGTTTACCTACTGACTCTGTGACCCATGCGAATCGAGTGATCACTGCTGGAAAANACCCTTTTAGGAGTCCTTATGACCTCAAACAATGATTTGCTAAAGATAACGGCGGCCAGAGGTTCTGTAGGTATTTTTAGCATAATTAGGCTCACATTAAAAGAAAAGAAATCATCATCAACCTTGACGATGTTTGGCAATTTATTTTAACTATTGAGCTGTTTTTGTTGTTGTTGTTGTTTATCCCGTTATCTCCTCAATTTTATTTCCTTATGGAGGATAATCAAAACCGGAGACAGTGTTTCATATCTTTTGTTAACACCTTGAAATAATCGTCGATACAACTCCGCTGCGTTGCAGTTTGAACTCTTTTCTCTGTGGTTGGAAATGTGATGAAATACTGCATCTCGTGTTTATTATATATCTTCACAAATTCAGTCGATATGCAGCCCATCAATCGAGTACGAGAACAGGTAACTGCATTAGTTTGTTTAACGTTTTGAGCTAAACTGTTTACCTACTGACTCTGTGACCCATGCGAATCGAGTGATCACTGCTGGAAAATCAAAACAGACACGAATAATGCAGCCAATAAGGCAACTCGACGCAGAAAGATGTAACCGGCGCAAATTAAAGCGGGCGCGCCAAACGCGCGTAAGTTAAATCACTATTGGTTTTATTTGCCCCTGTTTGTTCCCGATTGGTTGGGAAATTGGAATGTTTGCTTTGTAGGAACCGGGAGGGTGGGTGGGTGAGGGACCTACCTGTTACTTTCTGTGCCCTTCCGTGAGAGTACACGATCTTGAGTAGCACTTCGACTTCCTTGGCTTTTTTCCCAGGTAACGCTATCTCTTCGGCGTCTTTCTCTGCGAATTCGGACGTGAACATTTTCTCAAATACTGGGGACCACATTGACAAGGTGCTCCTGTGCACGTGGAATCTGGTCCCCTCCACAGACAGTACCACATCGCTGAAGTGCCAGGGGTGGGAGAAGTCAGGGTTATTCATCAGTTTGCTTGTCATACCTGCCAACCTGAAAGTATAATAACATTTTTAAAATTAATATTGGGGATTTTATTATAAGGGGAAAAGCCAACACAGCTGATTTCTATAATACCTACTATACATAGTGTACAGGGTCTTCCACGAAATCCTACTTACCCAACAACAAGCAAATGTCATATTCCTAACCCCCCCCCCCCCCCCCCCCCCCCGTCCCCTACCGTTCGCTCCTTAATGTCCTTGGCCGATACTGAATCGTAGGGATTAAATGAAACAAATACCAAAAACAGAGCAAGCATCAAGGCCAAGGTTGGGGACCAAGGAGACAAAAAGGTTTGGTAAAGATCAAATTTCTCAGTGTGAAGCCTTAATAAATGAAGGCAGGAAA